AAATCTCTCCTGCTTAAACTGTATGGTGATGGATATGAATTGTAATTGTAATGGGATTGACATTGATAGTTGAGTTTATGTCCTTCCAGCCAATGGACTTTAATAAATGGCATCCAGGAAGATTTCCTGTGTAATTCATATGGTTCTGATATTTCCATCGTGTCTCTAGAAACTTCTTTTGGAGGCAAATTGCTGTGTCAAACTGAGTCATGAAACTGAGCCAGGTTTCTTATTATTGAGGGCAGAAATTCTGTTTGGTTACAGTATTTTTCCCAAGTTTTACTTCTCTAAGAAGAGCATAGGACAGTTAACACTTCAAAACATAGCTTAAACAAAGCCCATTTTGGAATGCCAAGCTGTCACAGAGTTATTTTATCTCTCTGATATAACACTACAATAACATTATTTTGTACTTGATACAAACATAAGAACACCAGTTTCTATCATTTTTGCCCTTGGTTTTTGAAGGCGGAATTTAGAGGGAAAATGCATTTAGATATGAAATATTGAAATCTATCAAAAGTATATAGAATTATTTAACATACAACAGGGTTGCTTGTTTCCTTAGAAGTGACATCAGGTAGGTTAGCTAACTGAGCTGCCAGGACTGTATTTTAATGATCTCTAGGGTTTATCTCCTATTTAAAATGCTTTGTCATTTAGTCTGCGTGTGTTAAATCACTGACTCTTGCTCAATTCTTCTTCAGATTTGTTTGTTTCCTACTGTTTGGTGTTAATCATTTGATCACTTTGATGTGTGATAGGAGGAAGACAGTAGTTATGTAATTTTCACTGAACAGTCTTCCCTAAGTTATTAAATATATTTATTCTATATCTTATCTGTCATCTTGCAGACTGTGAATGCCCTGATAGAAACTTTGAATTCAGGGCTCCTGCATTACTCAGCTCTTCCTCGGTAATGCAGGGATAACAGACAGCCCCCAATCTCTATGGTTTGCAACCACTAAGATTTATGTCATGTGTGTATACATATATATATATATATATATATATATATATGTATGTATATATATATATGTATATGTACATCTATGACATATATATGTGTGTGTGTATACATATATATAAAGTCAGTGGTGCCTTTGTTTCTGCCTCAGTTATCTCTTTCACTCCAGGATCCAGGCTGAAGGAGAAACCCCCATCTGGAACATGCCATTCTTGTGGCTGAAACATAAAGGGCTCTTAGCGACAGTCAAAACTTGCAATGGCTCTTAAAGTTCCTGCTCAGCTGTGACCACACACACTGGTCATTCACATTCCATTGGCCAGAGTGAGTCTCATGGGCAAGCCCAGTGTCACTGTGTTCCAAGAGAGACCCTGCAGTTTACAAGGCAGTTGATGGGCATGTGTCCTTCTTTTATAGAGAAGGGTAGAGAAAATAGTAGAATATAACATAGATGTAAGTTTAGGTGGGGCCAATGGCATCTTTTTCTATAGTGGCCTGTTCTTCTGATGCTACTCAGAAAAGTCCCTTCCCTGCTCCTCTCACCTTCTGCAAATCCCTCAGGGCCAGCAGAGATGCTTTTGCCTACTTGCCTACATAATGGCTGAACCTGCAGTGATTGTGAGTTCCACATAGCAGCCACTATATACATATGGCTATTTAAATTTAAATATAAATTAATTAAAATAAATGACGTTAAAAATTCAGTTTCTGAGTCACATTAGTCACATTTCAGGTGTTCGGTAGCCACATGTGTCTAATGGCTACTGTGTTAGCCCAGATAGAGAACATTTCCGACATTGCAAAGAAGTCTGTAAGTATGTATTTGTTATGTTTCATGTTCCTGTCTCTGACATTGTTTTTTGTGGTACTGCTATCAGCTTCCAAGCCTATCTCTTCTTTTTGATTTGTTGTCTCTTATAGTTCATAGGTTTAAGCACTAGATTTAGAATTTTCTATAAAGTAAGGGTAACTAGGCTCTAAGAGCAGAAGAGCTTTCTTATGTTCAAGTATCTGAGTTTTCATACTTGGAATTTATATTTCTATTCTGACTGCCCCAGGACCTTTTTGGCTTGGTTATTCTGGTGCACCTGTGCTCTGGGTGGTCAGAGAGTCAGACTCTTGAGTTATTGCGGGAGAAGCGCTATCAAACTTTAAAGGTAAATTGCACTTTTATGGAAACGCTTTAGGCCCAGTCAATGGTCCCTTGTTTGGAGCAGTGCCATCTAAGGAAAGTTTATTGACTGACTTCCTACACATATACCAAGCACCATGCTAGGCCCAGGAGATACAAACAAAAGTGAACATGGCCCCAAACCCTGAGGAGTTCACAGTTTAGGTGGTAGAGAGAGCCATAAATAAACCGTTTCATCGTCTAGTGCCCAGGTATGAACTTTCCTCTGAAAGTCCAGAGGAGAGTGGTGCATGAACCAGCCTTCCTGGAGGTGGAGGGAGGGGGATGAGACAAGAGGCCAGAGGCCTTGGGAATGCTCCCTAAAGTAGTGATTCTTTTTTTTTCTGTCTATTTCTTTTATTTTTATTTTTTAATTGGAGTAGAGTTGATTTACAATGTTATGTTAGTTTCAGGTGTACAGCAAAGTGAGTCAGTTATACATGTGCATATATTCATTCTTTTTTAGATTCTTTTCCCGTATAGGTTATTACAGAATATGGAGTAGAGTTGGAGGGAGTGATTCTTAAATGGCATCCTGAGGGATAAATAGGTGTTAGTCACATGACAGAGCTAGGAGAATGGGGTCAACAAGACATGATGTTACCATAGCATGAACAAAGATGCTGAGAAGTGGACTGGCGTGGTGCAAGTGGGAACTTTTAAGTTTAGTATTGATAGGATTTAAAATAAAAGGGAACCTGTGTCTATAGAGATAGATAGGCTTTGACTGGTATGTTGAAGTGCCGGGTAATCAGCAGAGGGGGCAGGGGGCAGGGGGATGGTGACATGGGCTCATCTGACTTTTCAGCAGTTCAAGTTGTTCACCCTGGCAGCTTTGTGGCAGTTAAATTTGAGGGAGTTGGGCTGGAGGCTGGGACACTGGTGGTGATGGGTAGAGGAGGAGGAATTCATAGCAGTCCAACAGAGAGATAACCAGGGCCTGATGTGAGCGGGTGTTACTGTGGTAGAGTAGAGGACCTGCTTTCAATCAACACTTAAGGGGTAAGATTATCAGTATTTGAGGACTGATGAGATCTGGAGGATGAAGGAGACAGAGGAATCAGAGATGACGCTAAGCTTTCAGGAAAACATTAATTTGAACACTTCTTCCAAGTTCACGGTGATAGGTTTTGACCTATAGCTGCTACTAGTGTTTTGCATTGGCAACTGGTGTCTAGGTTAGGTTTTGGCTCCTTAGGACTCCATCACTCACATTTGTTAAAAGAACTTGAACCACACACTATAGTGAAGCTCTACCCTTGTATGACTTTAATTGTGCAGTGGCCTATGAAAACTTTTAGAAATTTGGCTTCACTTCTAGTGGCTCCAATCCAGATGCCAAAATTACCCTGTTGCTGGGACACCCCTTGGGTGGACCATTGAATCTGTTATTCATTAGGAACAGCTGAAAACCATCAACAAAATTCCTGTGCTATGCCAACAATAACACCAGTCAAATTTCAAGGTAACTCCAGGTTTCAGAAAGTTATGAATCTCAAAGTCTGTCTAGCTGAACCCTTATTTGTATTTTTACACATATTTATCATGTGAAAAAGCTAGTGGCGTCCTTACTTTTCATAATTGTACATCGCTTTCTTTAGATTATAAATTAAATTCTGAGTTCCGAATGTTGGTGGAGACATGCTTATGGATCTGTAGTCAATCACATTAAAGTGAAAGTACAAATTCAGTCCGGATGGTGGAAGTTGGAGAGGAGCCAGCCCAAAGAATCCATTGTGATGGGGTCCATATTGAAAGCAAGAATTCTCTCATATCTGCGGTACATTTTAAAAGGATTCTCCAAGTAACAGTTACTATTTTAATGACATGTGTTAAGCTTCCAGAAGAACCCAGTTCTCTAGTTTGCAAAATTAAAGAAGTATGCCAAATCTATGTTGATACTTGGGTTTTACTGACATATTTCACGACTGCCTGGCTAAAGCCATAAAACAGTAGGTGCCTGACACTTGATTTTAGATCGTTATGTTTAGCTACTGCGTCTGGCCTTTGCTGCTAAATATTTTTTTTCTTGTCACACTAACTACTCCATCAAATTGAATCTTCAGTGGTCTAGCAGTTTTTGAATGACTTCGTGCAAGCTGTGAAATCCTGTTCCCTAATCAGGAAGATCTGGGCAAGTCTTGTGGTATGAGGAAATATGCCACATCTTTCTAAGTGAGACAACAGGATTATAGGACAATTAGACAACATCTTCAGAATTTTTATCTGAAGAAGAGTGATAGGTTTGGCGATGAACATGTACTATAAAGCGAGAGGCATGGGAAGTTTCCACATTCTTTAAAAGGGTTTGGTACAAGGAAGAAAAGAAAACAAGCTGACTTTTTGTGGCTCTTGAGAAGGGTTACATTAACCATTTGTTAAAAGTTGGATTTATGAAGATCGTTGGCTTCGAAGAACATTCTTTATAAACTGCCATCCTTTGTATGATGTCAGTGAAGGTTGTTTAGCAACATATCAAAATAGTTTTATGAAAAGATAAATATGTTTCTTTAAACCCAAGGGGAGCTTTCTAAAATGCATTTTTAAAAATAAATAATGGCTGTCATTCTGTGGGAAAGAGGCAAAAAAAGACATCTTTTCAAGCAATTTGTGATTTAATAGCAGCTGGTCAAGTGAGTTGAAAAACCTTATGAGTCGTATATTTTTTGAATGCCTTTTCTCTTTCTTGGGAAACTAGCTAACCCCCAGAATCTTTCTCCCATAGCAAATGGCTCTGAAACTTTGATCTTTGCAAACCAGTTTGCCAGATGTAGTGGATAGAACACGTGTGACCTTTTGTGTGCCAATTCACCCTGGCTGATCGGAAACCATATGTTAACCTTGTATGACTTTTATTTGTAGGCATTACAGCAGAAGTTCTGGTGGTGACCTCTTTCGACGAACTGCAGAGAAGGGCCCCAGAAGCAAGAGGGAAGATTGTCGTTTACAATCAACCTTACACCAACTACTCGAGGGCAGTGCAATACCGCGTCCAGGGGGCGGTGGAAGCTGCCAAAGTGGGGGCTTTGGCATCCCTCATTCGATCGGTGGCTTCCTTCTCCATCTACAGGTTGGTCATTATGTTCATTTGAAATGCTTTCAAAAACCAGGGATTTCCATCAAAGAGAAGCCCTTTTGAAACAAAAACAAACCAGTCAAAAGAAAATACTGATTGTTCATGGAACTTTTCCCGCATTCTACATTTGTTCATTTGTTTGTAATATCTTTTTTGGCCTTTTCAGGATTCCAAGCATCATTTGTGCATTCCTTTACAAAGCTTTCCACATCCATGATGATCCCATAACATTCTATATATAACCAGTGTATTTTATATATTTTCATTGGAGGGAGAAACTGAATTCATGTCTGCATTTCATCAAAGATTCCTAAAGGCAGCCAGGCTTTTTTCCATTGTTGCTAGAGAAGTGAAATACAAATAAAGCAGGTTACATGATAGGGGCCATCTATGGTGTAGTGGAAAGAGTTGAGGCAGCAGAGGACCTTGAATGTACACCTGCTTCTGCTTCTGAAGAACCGTGAGGCCTTGGGAATGTTCTTCTTTTTTTTTTTTATTGAAGTATAGTTGATATACAATATTATATTAGTTTCAGGTGTACAGCAAAATGATTCAGTATTTTTGCAGATTACACGCCATTATAAATTATTTCAAGATAATGGCTGTAATTCCCTGTGCTATACAAAATATTCTTGTTCCATATTTATTTTATACATAGTAGTTTGTATCTGTTAATCTCATACCATCTTGGGAATGTTCTTAAAACTCTGCGCCTCAGCATTCTTCTCTATTAATTAGTGATAATTAACAATAATACATTTACAAAATTATTTTAAGATTGAATGAGGTAAACTTATGAAAGATACTTGATATTTATGAAGGTCTATTTTGAGGGCAGTGTAAGTTTTGTCTTTTTCTTTGTATTTCTGATTGAGGTAATTGCAACATGCTTTATTGATCCTCAGTTGTAGGAGGAAATTCGGCATTGCAGTGGATAAAAGGTCCAAAAATTGACCTGCAGACATTGGGCCTAGTTTAATAGCTACATATCGTAGTGTCACATATCAAGGATAAAATATTTGAGAAACATGGATAAAAGAAGCACCGTTTTAGTGTTGTGGCCTGGTCTCTCTAAGATAAAAAAAAAAAAGTAAAAATAATTGCAAATAGGGTTTATTTGAGTCTCAAGACTAGATCTTTAATATCTTTGTAAAGGAAGCATTCTTTATTCTGCACAATTGCTCTTTGGCGCTGGAGTCACAGCTGCTTGACCTTAAATAATTAGCACCCTACGCCCTTAAAAATAACTGAGGACACATCAGCAACTAGGAAACCCAGTCAGAGGAGTTGTCCAAAAGGGCAGAGAAAAGGAAAGGGACATTTTTCTTTTATGGGGATAAGGTATCATCCCAGGGGAGGAAGATGGGGCATGCTAAAACCACTTGTTAGAAGTTTTATGAGAGAAAACCTAGTTACACTGATGTCACAGTGCTAAAAATAATGCTCTTTGTGGAGTCTTTAAAGTTTTGGTGACTAGTGAAATAATGATTGGACCATATTCTTTCGGATGGTTACTTTTCCCGGGAGGGAAGTCCTGAAATGGCTAGCTTACTTCCCAGAATACCTCAGTCACCCCTTAGAATAACACAGCAACCTGTGGCCATTCACCATGATTTCACTGGTCCTGAGATCGAAGTTATGGAGCTACTCTGTTGCTTTGTGAAACTGGGTGAATGCCAGAAATATTCATTTAACAACTACTACTCATAAGACTAATAAACTCCCAGATGACTTAATGCACAGCAATCTGCCAGGGTTCATTGACGTTTTTTTCCTGGTATAATGAAGACATCTGGAAGCCCAGGCTGTAACCTAGGAGCACCAGAAGAATTTCGTCCAGCAAAGGACTTAGAAATCTGTCGTTAGCCTCTAAGGTTTAGGGTTGCCAACATGTAGTGTGCATTCAAGACATTTTTCTTAATATTTATAGATCCAGACTGATTATAATTTTTTCATTGATTTGATAGCCAGACATATTTCAGTGGACTCTTAACTTTTATAACTCCATAGTTTCAACATTTATGAATACAAAATAACATTGCTCTTTACATAGTACTTTAGAATCTTTCACATACGTCATCTTATTTGTTCTGACAACAATCCAGTGGACCGAGGAGAAGGGGCATTATTATCCCCACTTTAAGATAAAGAAAGAAAAGTTCAGAGAATTCAGCATGTTAACGTGTTTAAGTCTTGCATCTTGAAAAATGAAAACCAAAACGAAACAAACTGTCTCTTCGTCCACTTCAGGCTAATTTGTTTTTTAGAGCCAATTTTCCTTGAAGAGTGTTCTATATTCCTATCTGTAATTTTTCATCCCTCATTCGCTCTCCAGATCACTTTAACCTGGCTCTTCCAAATACTGAAATGGAAGTTGTTAAGGTCACAAATAGCTGCCTAGTTGAATATAATGGACATTTTTCAGGCCATCATCTTATTTCACCCCTCTCAAGTATTCCTTATTATTGATTGCTTTTTCAATCTCTTCTCCTTGGCTTCTATGACTTCTTTCTCATAATGTCTCTTTCTCTAGCTCCTGCTCTTTCCCTCTTTCCCACTTTCCCTTTTCTTCCCTGTTTCTCTGGCTTCTCACTGTTAATATTCTGCCTGAGCAATCCCATCATGCTTATGACTTCAGCCCTAAGCATGGTGACCCTTTCCAAACCCACCTCTTCTGTCCGCTGCCTGAGCTCTAGGTCCATACATCTAACTACCTGCTGATTTATCTTTTGGGTGTTCCATAGCTATCTCAGATTCTTTTCTTTTCCTTTCTTTTCTCTTCTCTTCCTTTTTTTTTCAAAATTGAACTCATTCTTTCACCTCTTTCTCCTGCATTTTCTATCTCAGTGAAGAGAATGCCATCTGTTCTGCCTTATAAATTAGATGGTCCTTGATTACTTTTTTTCCTCTTCCCTTATCCATCATTTCTAGGAGCTACGACATCTCCTAGCTTCTGCTCTTTATCAGTCATTTCAGCCAATGCATATTGAGCACCTCCACCTCCCAACATCACTCCACACTCTACTAGTCAGGAATCACTAAGGCTGCCCCAGTGCACCCCATTTCCTCCAAGTTTCACGACTTTGCAAATGCTTTCTCCTCTGCAACCTTCTATTCCCTTCTTCGCTATCTCACACTGTCCTTCAAGATTCATCTTAAGTGTTTCTTCTTCTGGGGAGCCCTGCCTGATATCCAACTCCAGCCCAGGTGAGCTGCCTCTTTTGGGTATCCCATGTCATCCTGTGCATACTCTGTATCATAGTATCTTGGAGGTAGTTGGGGTTCATGCTTTGGTAGGGTAGACTAACTGTTGTAGCAAGCAACTTAGACACCTAACACAATAGGAATCTCTTTCTTGCTCACATAATAGTTCCAGGAGGGTGTTCAGCAGGTGGACTTCTGCTCCTTTCCATCTGTGGCTCCATCACCTCTAAGAAATCAGAGTCCTCTGCAGGGTGCCCTGCATCCAGCTGGCAAATAAGGAACTGGAGAGAGAAAGTCGATAATCAAGGGGGAGGTTTTCTGTGGCCAGGCCTGGGTACGGCATACCTCACTGCTTACATTCCACCAGCCACAATGCAGTTACGTGGAGGCTAGGAAATCTGGCCTATCTTCATGCTCGCGGTGAAAGGAAAATGAGTTTGGTGAACAGCTGTGCAGTCTGCTCCAATCGCCTGACTCAACACTAGACTGTAAGTTCCAGGAAAACATGGATTACACATTTTACCTCTGTGTCCCCATCATCTTGTATCATATTTGATACATGGTGATTACTCTGGAAATGACTGTTGGAGGAATCCACTTGTCTGAGGTTATGTGATCAGTCGTGGTTGGGTTCTTACAACAAAGCAGATGACCCGGTTCCTAGTGCTCTCTGACCAGACTGTGTAGCCTCTGTATAGTGAATTGAAATCAGCTTGAACTTTTGGGGCACTTTGCTCTGTATTTGGAGGAAAACATCCAGATGCCAATATGCCAGATTATACCATTTTTTCTGCCACACTATTCACACACAGTGATCTTTTGGGTCACCCTTAGCTCTATGGCAATGGGTTATGCTGGATCCTGTTTAGGAGAAGTGTAAGAAGTCAGCAACACAGGAGCACAGAATAGAAATTTGTCGCTGCTTGATTTCAAAATTAGAGACTCTCCTAAAGGACAGGAAATGTGTTTTACCAATGTGACTTGACACCTGTCAATGCACGTATCAGTATCAGCCGTTTTAGAAGTACAACGTCACATGCTTACATGACGTGTCCTCAAAAGGCAGTCCATTACTTGTTGCCAGCATTATCTCCGGATTCTTTGTTGTTATTTCTCTGTATTCCCATTATTAGTGTTTTTGGGGCTCAAATTTACTTCAAAGAGAAGATTTTTCCTTCATTGATGCTTTTATAATGACTTCTCTCTTGTTCAATATTAAGTGTCAAGTGGGGACTATCTAATGGGGACTCCCATTAGATCTTTTTTAGTTTTTCTGTTTGTAAAATACATTTTGCCTTTGTCACAGGAGAATATTTTAAGGACAAATGTAATTGTAAGAGATTTAATTTCTGCAGAGGAAAGCTGCTCTGTGGGACCACTTGCCTTACATTATTTCTCAAATTCATCATATTGTTTAGTAAATATTTATTGAGAGCTTACCATTTGCTCAGAAGTTGCCAGGTACCAGGGTTGCTAAGATGAATTAGACATGTTTTTGGTTCCTCAGAAATATTCTGTCTGGCTAAAAGAGAGGAGGGGAAGCTTAAAATGTACATGATTAGTGTAATATATTTTATATTTAGTGCTAAATGCATGATTGAGGAAAGGGACAAAGAAAGGAACATTTGTTAAAAAGTTTTATTTATTTACTTTAATTATTTTATTTATTTATTTTTGGCCGTGTTGGGTCTTCGTTGCTGCATGTGGGCCGTCTCTGGTTGCGGTGAGTGGGCACTGCTCTTCATTGCGGTGCGCGGGCTTCTCATTGCAGTGTCTTCTCTTGTTGCAGA